AAAAAGGCCAGGGACGATGATGGGAATCGAACCCACGACCGAGCCTAGTCTACACGCTGATCCCTAGGCTACTGCTGTACCCCAAAAATCAAGAAACGTCCATAACCAAAATAACTTTTTTTGCTTTTGCTTGAATTTACTTTTATTAATTAAATATGTAATATTTAATTTGGTATATTGCAACAGTTAACGAGGAAAGAAGGATCTGAATGACAGATTTATCTAAAAAAAAGCCAACTTTATCCAACGATAGTTCAAGTGGAGGCTGATATTTTATAAAAGATAACATCTGCCGGTCGCATGTCCGTCTAGTATGTAGACGACAGTTGTAAAAATAATCATCTTGGCATCTATCGCCCTCATAATCTTCCTATAATCGCATGCAGCCCCAATTGAGCCTCGGACGAATTCCACCCTGGTATTATTAGCGAGTTCTCGGAATTGACAATCTATTGTGACAGGATTCGAAGGGGTGGTTTGACGAATATTTAGAAATTGAAGAAGAATGAAGTTTGTTAGAGTGAATTGAAAACTATATTAGATATTCATGGTTATTTCAAGGGTTCATATATTATTCAGAGAATATTTACCATTCGCGACAAAAACGGAATCTGGAATGCAAATCGCCGTCCGAAAAGAATCGGGGTTCGAGTTCGACCTTTTCGGAACTTGAATAAGAATCTAGTGTAAACATCTCAACCCTAAAAGAGCCCACTTTTTTCCTTCTCCTTTCCTTTTTTTCCTTTTGCCATTCCCTTTCGAGGAGAAGAATCAGAAATTTAAATACGCCCAGAAAGGGAGACAGAAAGACGATTGACCGGGGTCCAGTACGGGAGATGGAATATTTACTGAGAAGGCGGTTGCAGAACAAAGGGACTCAACCTTTGATCCGCCGACGGATCAATTAACCCAATCAGCATACCTTCAATAACAATCATCAGAACTGCTTCGTACTTTCGATCACATTGCAATAACACAATTGCAATTAAAAATTAACCTTCTACTTTCAAGCTTTTAGTCTTAAATAAAAAGTAACACGTAACATATGCATTTTGACACAAACAAATTATTAATTAATTAACTCACTCGGCCCAGAATTCGTAAAAGGTTATTATTAAATTTTGTCAACTGTTTTGTAAACAGAGTAAGCTAATTTTGACGTTTGTTATCATTAACATTTACGACGGCCTAAAGCCGAATCGGGTTTGATAACGGCTCTTATCGACCCACAAGCTGACCATCCTTCAATCCATTACGATTTTACCAAATGAAAAAAATCAATAAAATTTTGGCACTAAACAAGGTTATTATAATATTTTTCGTGATATTTTCACTTTTTGGAAAGGACTTGAGACTGTTTTCCATTTGGGAATAAGGTAATCGTTGGCGATTTGTTATATTTTCAACTTTACAGAAATACATTCAGGATTATTGTTATTTCTGGTCTGTCGTTGGTTTAACAAAGAGAGAGAAAGAGAGAGAGAGAGAGAGAGAGAGAGAGAGAGAGAGAGAGAGAGAGAGAGAGAGAGAGAGTGAGAGAGGGGGACAGAGTGATAGAGTGATAGAGTGATAGTGGAAAAAAAGAGACACAAAAAGAGAGCTATATAAAGCAAGAGAGGGTGACAAAGAGATAGTGCTCGTGGGAAAAAAAGACACAAAAAAGAGCTGTATAAAGTGAGAGAGAGAGAGAGTGAGATAGAGGGTGACAGAGAGTGATAGTGGAAAAACAAAAACACAAAAAAAGAGCTATATAAATTGAGATAGATAGAGAGAGAGCATTACATTTGTGCTAATCTAAAAAACGAAATAGATACTTTTAAAAAGTGACAGAGATAGAGACGGCTATCGAATACGCTTCTCTCCGTAAAGGGTAAAATTGCCTCCTTTTAACTTTTTTAAGCGTACTTTGCGAAAAGTAAGGGCAGAGAGACAAATAGGGAAAGGGAGAGAGGTGGGAAAAAATAAGGAAGAAGAGACACAAGACAAACAACTTGGGTAAAAGAGATATAACAAAAAAAGAGAGAGAAAAAAGAGTGGGATAGAATGAAAGGAAGGCAGGCAAAGAAAAAAAGGAGAAAGAGGGTAAGTAGGAAAAATAATGAAAATTAGAGACACATAGACTATGGTATATAGGAAGTTGGGAGAGGTAGAGAGTGTTTTAATGGGTAAATAAGGAAAGAGAGATACAAATTCCAAGAAATAGGGTAAGAGCGATATAGCAGAAAGAGAAAGGGTGCAGAGAGGTAGAGTGACAGTAGAAAAAAAGAGACACAAAAAAGACCTATATAAAGTGAGAGAGAGAGAGAGAGAGAGAGAGAGAGAGAGTGAGAGAGGGTGACACAGAGATAGAAAGATAATGGAAAAAAGAGACCCAAAAAAGAGCTATATAAAGTGAGAGAGAAAGAGTGAGAGAGGGTGACAGAGAGATAGAGTGATAGTGTAAAAAAAGAGACACATAAAAGACCTATATAAAGTGAGTGAGAGAAAGGGTGTGTGAGAGAGAGAGAGAGAGAGCATTACATTTGTGCTAATCTAAAAAAGGAAAGAGACACTTTTAAAACGTGACAGACATAGAGCCGGCTATCGAATTCGCGTCTCTTCGTAAAGGGTAAAATTGTCTCCTTTTAATGTCTTTAAATTAAATAATAAATATACACTTTTAAGATGATAAAATTTATTGTCAAGGAGACTAGCATACTTTTATTACAAATTGGTAAGTCGAACAAAAATTGTTTTCTAATGTTTTTGAAACTTTTTATGTGTGATTCTTTTGGCCAAAAGCGTAACTGAACGAACGCGAGTGAACGAACCCAGTTTTAATAGGTTGGACAACGTTCTGGATGAGGATCCGATGTCCCACCGCTTCTTCCTGGAACATGCTAATTGAGGCCAGGAAACGCCCGTGCTCAGACAATCTACAAGTCGTTAAAACAAACCGCCGGCTCGTTGCAATTACAGTACACATTAGCCGAACACGAATACTTAGAGAAGCCAGGCAATGTTTCAAATTTATGACAGAACACCCTCGGGAAGCAAAAATAATCGAATAGAAGAACTATCGATTAATTACATAACAGAACAATTACTTTTCCGTGATCTTTGATTCGTATGATAATTAAGACTTCGGAGTGAGCTGTGGCAACGAGTTCTCGGGCATCCCACAAGGGAACTTCTTTGGACTTCTACTGTTTATCATCCCCACTGGTGACCTATCTAACACCCTAATACCATCATGATCATTTCGCCTCCGATCCCCCCTTTTATATCCTTAACAGAAGACTTGGATAATACGAAACATCCAGGGCCTTCTTGATCGTCCACATTAAACTAACCTTCTGCAAGACTTCAATTGCGACCTCTTTGAAAATAGGGGTTCTGCCAATCTATCTCTAACATTAAGCGCACTCAGTACTTCCCAGACAAAATTTTCTTTTGTCAACGAACTTGATCGACTCATCCTATAATGGACCATAATCGCTGAGTGCCAGCATTGGCTGCTTTCTCATAACATGAGTCCTTCAGGTTCGGAGCTGCTAAGGTGGTAGTGCTGTGACCGAGTCAAAAACGTACTGTGATTACATTGTAATACGCACTAATGTAATATGTAAAGTCTACAAAAATAAATAAAACTAAAAACTAACTAAACAAACCAAAACTAACTAAAGCCCCCTCGTCAACATTGCACGTGACTATTGCCATCTATAGATTTTCCAGATAGTGAAGCCGTTCCTGCTTTCATAAATCGTACATCATCACCATAAAATTAATGTATTTTCGCTTGGTTCGTAGTCGCACAATAAAAAAATTCTATTGGCAAAAAATAAAAAGATATAGGAAAATTATTGGAAATTATAAATATCTTAAATCATATTTGGTAGTGTGCAAGACGTAATCCCCATGTTTGACTGATTTTTTTTTCTTTTCATAATGGAAATATTTGTTCTCTTCTTATACTCACCTCGACGAAGTATTTCTAAAAGACTACCATCGAGGACTTTATAAGTGTTTTCTAAAACCCGAACGATATCGACTGAACTGACCCTTTCTTTCAATAAACCAATTTAACCTTTTCTTTATTAAAGCTTCTAATGTCTTCCTAAGACGAGAAGTTAGAGAAATAGTCTGTAACTTTTCCGGAGACCGGATAACTTTTCTACATCTTTTACCGAGTTTGAAATGCGAACCGGATTGATTCCACGGTAGAACCCACGACTCAAATTTCTTATACAACTGAAGATTTTTCTCCGTTTATTTATGATCATTATTAATTATAGACTTTTTACTGAGCTGGGAAACACTTAATATTGAATTAGATTTTTTGTTTATATGGCCAGCAAAATACCTTGGTTCAACACCCGTCTCTCTGAACAATTCTTTTCTTATCTTTCTCGCGTTTTAAAACTACTAATTTCTTTTCCTGATTCTCCAGCCAAATTATGATGCTGTATGATATAACGGTAATCAACTTTCACTTTTCTTTATTCCATTGCTAGCCTCTCTGTACCTCAGAACCTCGACAATTTTGTATAGCATAATACAACTTATTAGCATTAAACTACTTCAGAGTACTTGATCTTCCTCGGAGAAATTGGGATAAACTCTACCATTCACTCTAATAAATTAAAGTCCCACTACCCTAGAGTACTCGATATTCTTCGGAGTAATTGGGATAACCTCAACCATTCTCGCTAATAAATTACATGCACGCATTACAATTCATTTACACTGCCTCAGAGTACTTGATATTCCTCGGAGAAATCGGGATAAACCCTGCCATTCACTCTATTAAATTACAGTCATACTACCCTGGAGTACTATATATTCTTCGGGGTAATTGGGATAACCTTAACCATTCACGCTAATAAATTACATTCACACATTCCGTCACACTACCTCACAGCGCCCGATATTTCTCGGGGTAATTGGGTATATGCCCTTCCATTCAAGCAAATAAATGCATTCGTTCCAATAAAACATGCATGAAGGTAAAAAGGCATATATGCAATTACAAATATTTACGTCCCTGAGATATCGGATCACCGACATGTGCCTGCTGCGGTCCCGCGCATATTTCTTTCATCGCAGACTTTTCTTTACATCTGCCATTATGTTCCCTACCGTGATAAGTTCCCCATAGAACGGGCACCTACAAGGTTTCACCTCCATTATGTGTCTTGGCATGACCTATGCGCAACCTGTTAAGTATAACTCGTGTTTAGACCCGAAAAAAATTTCCATTCTTCTTTCTTCTTCACATAGCGGTATTAATTTTTTTAAAGCGTGTCTTGTAACTGTAATTTAAAACAATAAAATTTCGCATTAGTTTTATCATGGAAGGGCGAAGTTATATCTTTTTTTTAATAGAGTTATTAAAAATTATTACATAGAACAATTTTTTACTGTTTAACCGTGACTAATGCAAGTTTTTGCGTTAAACCACCACTGTTGGCAGGGGACTTTCCAAGTTATTTGTCAGTGGCCGCTTTGTTGTTTTTCATCCGTGCCCGTCTCGTGTGTGAAAGGAAATATCTCCCGGGTCGGCTTTGATTGTCATTTGAAAAAACCGGATTTCTGTCTAGAAAAAGAAACCGGTACGAGGAAGTATGCAGACGGACTTAATCTTAATAAAAGCTGCTTACTGGCAGACTTTTCTTTGACTGGTTGGTTAAAGACGACTTCCAATTACGGCCAACGGCTTATTAAACTGGGTTTACATCGTGAAAATAATAATAAATATAATACAATGGTACAATGTATGAAAACAAATGAAGTCTTTTTAAACTTTTAAGCACCAACAGTTGGGTCATAGCGGGTTTTCACCGTGTACACAGAAAATAGACTAGGGTGATACATTACTGTAAAACTAAAAAGTGTATATGGTGATTGTTAGAGAATGGAGGATGGTTTTTCCGCATTTTTTCTCTTTTTCTCATTATTTAGCCATCCACAAATTCGATTCTATGTATGCCTGGGACAGCTAAACTATGCTACAGGCAAAAACATCGATGTGATGTGACCTTTGTCTTTCAATCAATACAACCGTACACCTTAGTAAGACCTTAGTCTAATACATTTTCATTGTGACATTTTTTCACAAAACAGAATTAAACTGTACAGGACAGCATATATAATAAGGTTAATAGTTAAAAGGAGTCGGCTTGTTTACGGGCACAGAGACCAATATTGGTCTATTGTACAATCTCCATCATTGCCTATTTTAGGACTTTTACCAGATCCCAAAGCTTTCCTAAGAGCATCCCTGTATATTCTCCAGGCCTTGGCATTTCCTATCCCAGCAGTAGAAATCTGAGCCTTAGTACTTCGTAACAACAGAAGACATTTTCCGCTGTTTCTTCTTCTTCCTGGCAATATCTCCACACTGTCTTTTTCTTGCAGCTCCGAGTTTGTGTCCAGTCAGCAGTCCTACTATCATTCTACTCCTAAGTGTTGTGAGTTTAACATTTCTGCTTTCTGTTGCTGCTATCTTTTGATGAACTTTCTGAAGTACATGCCCATTGAACCGTGGAAGTACCCGTTTTCAGCAGTCCTTCACCGAAGACGACGTGAGCCGCAACGCGTTGGAGTGACATCGGTTAGTCGATCCTCGCTGTTTTAGGACCAGGCCTATACGCTCTCATCTACTTATTTCCGGCAATATTTGCACATGCTCGCTTCTGCTGCTCCGAATCTATAATGCCTCCGGATTACGCAGTGTCCAGTAAGCAGTGTCACTAGTCATTCTCGTCGTAACACGACCTAGGTTTATTAGTTCTATCGTTAGGTTCAGCAACATTCTGTATTTTTTAGCTGTGGAGAAGTATAAAACACAAAGCATGAAAAGAAGAATATCACGAGGGACGGTCGGTCGTAAACCTGAACATGTGCACCATTTTAAATTTAGAAGTCAGGTTCTTCACAGTAGAAGTGAGAAGAAGGGTTATTAGTAGTCAGCCAATATACGACCCAAGGAACTACGAAAAATATTGAGGTCTATTGCGCATGCAATCTTAAGCTCTTTTTTAAGTTTTTCATTGTGATTCTCGTCTGAATCCTTAAGACTTTAACTTTTCCTATCCCGAGACTTTAAGCCGACATATGCTTCTAAACTATGCACATACCTTTGGAGTTTGCAATGTCCACTCACCAGTCCGGCTAGGTTTAGTAGTTCTGCGTTATTTTGCGTTTGTCCTTTCATGAGCCGAAGACTTTAATTTTCCATGGAATTTGTCTATTATCGATGGATTAATACCAGGTCACTACTCTTACGTCATTGCACCGCTGTGATCTTCTTCTTTCTGGCAATTCTTTAAAGCAATGTCAAGACTCGTTTCTACTGATCCAAATTCTACTAAAAATAGTTTGCATAATAATTCTGCCACACATAACAACATAACATGATTTTTCAAATTCTTACTTAAGCTGCAGACCATCGAGGTACTAAATGGCGTCGAATGGCTTGTTCGCACTACGGATGAGCATCGATGGTCGATGTTTAAAAAACATCGATGGTAGGTGACCGCTGTTCGATGTTTTTAACATCGTTGTTACTGTGACGATGTTTTTTGACCATCGATGGTGGGCTGTCAATGTTTTAACTTTTTCAGTGTTTCCTAATTTCCAATTTTGTGAATAGGGAATGACCCATGTTCTTCTGATATGAAAGTGACCTATCAGAACCTGTCAGGAGTTGTTCAATTTGTTGCCTTTATGGAACATCTGTTCCCTCTAAACGATTATTTTCCAAAGCTGGAATTATTATTTGGAAAACCAGAAATCGCTTAGAAGATAAATTGGCTTTAAAGCTACTTTTTTTTTAAATTGCGTTCCGGAGAAGATGCGGTAGTTTCATTGTAAAATTTGAATATATTAATTCTAATAAATTAAGGATATTAGTATCTAAGAAAAACAGCGAGGTATTTTGAATAAAATTCACAGGCACAAAATATATTACTTTAAAGGGACCGAGAGATCTATACACAACTATAAATGAAACCAATGGCAAAAATAATTCTTAATAAATGTTATTAAAAAAATAAACATAATATATTAATCAAGTTCCAAATAAAGGTTCAGAAATGGCGAAGTTTGAAAAATTAGCTTATTTTTTTAAAGTGGCACATAAAAACAATGTATGCATATGAAAATAATTTGTGGTTTGAGTAATGGTCCATGGTCGACCATCTATGTTTTTTTAACGATGCTCATCCCTAGTTCATTCTCATACCTCAAATTTTCTCGCTAATACATAAATTCGTCTTCTAAAGACAAAAACGCCGTGATAGTCATGGCGTCAATTTTTCTCTGATGAGAAACATTCCGTCAATAGTCAATGACCTATCCTTAGTCTCACCAAAATAATTTATTCACGTCGATTCGATTTTATTCTCTTGTATATATATTTTCGGTTCAGCCATTGATCAAAGCTGACATTTCCCACGTGCCGCTCAACCTCGACTAGAGTGACTAGGGTCTCCTCATCATCCTAGCTTAATTTCTGTGTTTTTCTCACGACAAAAACGTCATATGACTGGAATTTGCAACCATTATTGTTATTTTAATTTCTAAATCAAGATAGTAAAGTAGCGTATAAACAATATCACCATCATGATCACAGTGATTGTACTTGTGTCTTAAATATCGGAGTAAACCGTTAGGGGTGAAAAAATCCGATATTACCCCGGAATATATATGTTAGATAGAGTGTGTATATTCAAATGGCAAAGTGGGCATGCGTGGGTCGATGGGGGGCAGGTTGCATTCCATTACCTCCTTCTAAATCATCTCCCATACAACAACTCCCTTCTCCGCTCGATATCCTCCAACAACCTCTTTACCCAAACGTAAACCAACCCTTTATTAATATTGTATTTTCCAGCGGAAAATGGGCGAAATTATTTATGCAAATTTCATTTTTTTATCGCCCAAAAGTGACCTAAGAACACAGAAGACACAAGAAGACAGCCATGTTATAGTTTTAAAAACCTACCATTGAAAACAAGCAGAAGTTAGAGTAAAATAATATTGCTCTTACATAATAAACACAATATTTAAAAAAGATAGATATAATATTAAAAATAGACTTTTAATTAATAATTAATAATAATAAAACCAAATAAATTAATGAAAAGTTATAAAAACAAATAAAGAAAAAATATTATTGTTATTGAAACATCAAAAGAAAATCCATATACATGTGATTTTCCCAATCTTACTGCAATATATTTTTATATATTAATAACAATTTTTGATATATGTCAAATACATTTAAACATCTTTAAACGGCAGAAAAGAGGGAGCATTAAATTTATTTACAGGTGTACAATGGCATCAGGCAAGATGGGTCATCACTAATTTGTACTTCTTAGTTAAAACTCGTCCAAAAAACCATCAACGATCCAATTTTCCAATTTGAATGAAATCAGCGATGCAAAGCGAAACGCGTGATCCTGGGGGAGCAATAGGTCCGTAAATAAGTGACCTAGATGTATTGATTTTATAGCTTGGTTCATATGAGGCGTGGCAGTTCACCTACGCTCAATCACACTCTACCACCTCCTTTCACCCCTTCCCCAGAACTCCTCAGCCAACGAATTACTTTTCTTACTATCGCAGAATGGAAAGAGGAAAAGCCAAGAGGGGGAGAAATTTCAAAAGCTTTCCCTTAATAGGCGGAATATTGATTCGACGTGTTTTTGAATATGGGATTTCAAGGGTGCCAAAGTTTATAGCTTAACGATAATAAACTTTCTCAGCAGAAATATGATCATAATAATCTATAACACTCTAGGAGGAATGACACAGAGATCAATTTTAAAACTATTTTCTTACTATTTAAATAAAGTGAAAATGATCCACTGCTCAAATACAACATTTATTCTTAGTTTTTCTTTGTAGCTTATACATAATATATGTTATACATATTATATATTTTCACACGATCAAAGCACTAACTCTAATCATTCTCGATCAACGAATGGTCTTGAGGAAGAAAGTAAATTCAGTTGTTTCGGTTTCGGCCTATTTTAAGGTCATCATCAGGGCAAATAATCTCAGTCTACAGATTGACATATTTTTAAGTTTTTTTACTGGGAATCTGCAATTTTCTTGACGACCGACTCAGTCCCAACATTGCCAAGGACTGTGAATGCTTGGCAGTAGGAACTGAATTTGCTTTCTTCTTGAAGACCATACCTTGATCCAGAGTGTTCGTGAGTGAAAAGTGGTCGATATTTCTAATGATAATGCCAGTGCTGCACCCGGAGGACAGATGCCAGAAGAAACCGGCCAATACTGGCATTCAGCATTTATTGTAATGGATTAAGGGGCAAGGAGGTCTCGAGGACATCGTCAATTAAGTCGATATGGCGGGTTCTCAGGATGGGAATTTGTATAAAGGGCTTGAGCACTATGGTTAGGATGGATCGAGAGGTTTTTGTAAACTTCTGGAATCAGGAACGGATCAGTTCTTTGATGAAAGAAATATTGAGGTCATTATGAATAGTAAGTTAGTGACGGAGCTGTGACAATTTGTCTGAGAACTGTTGATTGGAAGGATTGGTTGCGCTTGGCAGAATCCAGAATTAGTTTAGTGTTGTGAGGTCAAGACGAATTTCGTTCAATAGAAGTCGTAGTTGTCCAAGTCATCTGTTAAGTTGTTGTCTCAAGCTTGTTTGGGAAACGTAAGTTTGCTGTTTAAGTATTTAACTAAAATGGAAATGGATATTTCTTTGTCGTTGATGTACAACGGAGTATAAGATTTCAATGTGCACTTTTTTTTTACTATTCCGTCTTGTACTCCACTTTTTACACAAGTCTTCGATAAGCTGTGTTCTTGATGTTAGAGGTAATTTGGATAGGATTTGACTTAGAAGGCAAAAACTGCGGTGGGTGGGTGATGATGATGGTATTATTATTAGAAATCAAACGAAAAGAGAACCGTATCCGATAAGCCAAAACTGCTAAGATAGGTAGACTAATCCAAAACTACTTAACTATCACAGTTGTCCTGCTTTTTCAAAGATTGTAAGCTATCACCTGATCCGCTGTGTCAACCAGGCCTGCTTAACTTTCTAACTTCTACATTATTGAAATTATTTTTTGTGAATTTTCCCTAAAAGAAAAAGGGGTTCCCTACAAATAAGTTGAGAGTAGCGGGACTCTACTTTAATAAAAGTCCATTTCTAACCGGAAAGATTAACTTTCAAAATCGGTTGATATGAAACAAAATACAAAATCACACTGAGAACCTACGAAGGCATCACAAAAATTCACAAGATCTGAATATTTGTGTGGTGATTAGTGCCGTTAGTCGATGATTATTCGGAAATAGTGAGATGGGGTATGACGTAGGTTTCATAAAAACATTTTCTTTATCATGTGTATATCATGATATGTATATCATGTATCACAAATCACTCAAAGCTTTTTGTTTTTTCGTCAGTTTGAGTGAGTAGAAATACTTTGTATGAATATAAAAAAAATTTTTTTTGCATTGTATAAATTGGGTACTCTCCACACGACACGCAAGGATGGCACAATTACACAGAAGACAAACACTTTGAGCCCTGAATCAATAATAAAAGTAAATAAAAAATAAAAGCGGTCTGGTGTGATGTAGGTTTCAGAAAAACATTTTCTTTATCGTGCCAACGTTTCGATCTTTATTGAGATCATCTTCAGGGCACAAAGTGTTTGTTTTCTATGTAGTTGTGCCATTCTTGTGTGTCGTGTTGAGAGTGCCACGCCACACGACACGCAAGAATGGCCCTGAAGATGATCTCAATAAAGATTGAAACGTTGGCACGATAAAGTAAATGTTTTTCTGAAACCTACATCACAGCAGACCGCATCTCACGATTTCCGAATAATCATCGACTAATGGTCGCTAATCACAACATATTTTTACAATGATGATAATTGACTGAGAAAATTAAGAAATTTGTTTACAGTACGATAATAGAGGCAGATTTTTCTGCAAGCGACGTATCTTTCTGTATACACAGAACCAAGGACATTTTACTTAAACACCAGACAGGAACGTTGTAAACTCGTAAAAGTTTAACTTTTATGTGATTTGGTATTTTACTTGTCTCAGATCAGAGTTAATCTTTTTCTATTGGTGTCATCAAATTTACAGTATGACTAACCTTAATGATATAAGGGGGAGTTTTTGAAAGTTGAAAGTAGCCTGAAAAGTGAGGTTTTGCCAATACAATTGGGAATCTAACTTAGGTCATATGAGAGTTTGTATTCAATTTGACTTGTAGTATAATCTCATGAAGTATGGACATCTGTTCACGAAACAGCCTGTAATCATAATGATGAATAATCGTTTAATTTTTCTAAACCTGCTTTAAAAAACAATTCACAGCTAAACCGTAAATTTTTTCAAAAATTATCTGATTGTAATTGTTTTGGTGGGGTCCATCTAGATTTTGTGAAACTCCATAACATGATGGGTAGGAAATAAATTGCTTTTTCCACAATAGGCATTTGTTAAGTCAGATTCGTTTCGGTCTAATATAAACCATCTTCAGTGACTTTTTGTATATAAAGGTTTGACGGTTTATTTTACCATTCTTGTAAGTTCAGAAGTGGATGCATGGACGACTATGGATTTGGCAAGTGGTCTGTCAAAAATGGGCTATTTCTAGACAGACGATTAGCCAAGTCTTTAGTTGTCCAGACATCCAC